GAGCTGCTACAGCCTTATACACCCACCCGCTCTCTCAGGTCAGCTGATCAGCTGCTCCTGAAGATACCCAGGACTGGGCGTAAACTGATTCTGATTCTGAAACTTAGAGGAGATCGTGCTTTTGCTGTAGCAGCTCCCAAACTGTGGAACGAGCTTCCTTTAGAGATTAGACAGGCCAGTTCTTTATCTGTTTTTAAGTCACTCTTGAAAACCCACCTCTTTACCCTGGCCTTTGACACCACGTGAGATGTTGGTTTTTTATTTTAGTTGTTTTTAGGTGATTCGATGCAGTTTTAACATAGGGCTGTTTTAATTTTATGTTTTATGTGTTTTATTTATTTAGCTGTTTTTTGTTATTCTATTGTTTTAACTTATTTTCTGTACAGCACTTTGTTCCTGTGCTGGGTATTTTAAACTGCTTTATAAATAAAATTGGATTGGATAGTGTATGTCCATGTGTTGTTCACTGCCAACATCCTTACATTGCTTCTGCTTTGCGTGTTGTGGAACTCTTCTTGATGTCTGTCTTTCAGCATTTTTTCCACCACACCACTACGACGCCACACATCAAACACAGTCTTGCCATGCTGGTACCCCACCTCCTAAAAAAAAAAAAAATCACACAAACATATTCACATATCAGTACCATTTTCTATTTGCCAAAAAAGTTATTTTTAAAAGTTGGTCTAGTGCAGGGGTAGGCAACTCCAGGCCTCGAGTGCCAGTGTCCTGGAGGTTTTTGATGTGTCCATGACCCATCACAGCTGATTTAAAGGGCTAAATGACTCCTCAGCATTTCTTGAAGTTCTCCAGAGGTCTGGTAATGAACTAATCATTTGATTCAGGTGTGTTAACCCAGGGTGCGAACTAAAACCTGCAGGACACCGGCACTCGAGGCCTGGAGTTGCCTACCCCTGGTCTAGTGTTTCAGATAATGAAAAACTTTTGTCTTACAACATCTGAAAGTTTCAATACTTGTTCATGATCAGGGGTAAAAGAGTTCAGGTGAAAACAAATTTCTGAAACTTACAGCAATTTCATCAAACTTGCCAAACTCTAGTGTACGGTATCTGTCGATTGGAGGTCTGATATACTCGCAGTAATCGCTGCTCTTCACAGACTCCAACTGTCTCACACAGCACACATAGGCCAGCCGAGTCTGAATCTCTGCCATGTTTAGCACCTGTGGAAATTAACTTATAAATCACTGAAATGATTTCCAAAAATATCCTTATTTTTATTGATAGAATTAAAAACATTGCTGCACAGCATGGTGTGTCTTTACTCTTAATCAATCCATCACCTTAACTTTCTCAGCAAGTGGGTTAAGGCGTTTCCATAGCAGCCACCAGCCTGAGAGTGAGTCGCCGTAATTAGTGAGATTGGTTTCATCCCGGCTGCCCACATCAATAGCTATTGCCACTTTGGCCCCCATGGAGCGCGCAACATCAGCTGGGAGAATCAGGGGAAGAAGACATCAAGACAAACAGCATACAGTACTGGTAAAATTAAAAATATATTGCTATAAGCAAACAGCTGAGCAACTACATCAAAGTACGGCTACTTTTAATACTTAATAAGGGAAGGTACAAACTGAATGTAACAAACCAGGCAGGTTGTTGATATAGCCTCCATCCATCAGCAGGTGTCCATCTTTCGGGTCACACAGAGGAGGGAGATATCCCGATAGAGACATGCTAGCACGGACATACCGCCATAGAGAACCTCAAATAACAAACAAGCAACTTAAACTTACTTAAAAGGCATAAAGCCTAACTGCAAGCAACCAATATGAATCAACCGAAAATTAATCAGACTATTAAAAAGAGTCAGTTCATCTATGACCACAAAAAAACAATTCAGAAAACTCAATCAAGACCAGAATGATTCTTTCAAAATAAATAAACTGAACACTGTATTTACCATCAGTGTGTACTCTCATGGCAGAGGCAGTGATGTCAGTTGTGATATTGAAATATGGGATCCAAAGGTCCTACATGACACAGAATTTACACTGGCCTCAGATCAGTATTCCAACAGCTGGGTCACACCTACTGTCATTTAGCTCACCTCAATCTGTTTGCTTTTGAAGACGTTGTTGATGCCAGAGTTGAAGGAAGCACCAGAAAACATGGATGTGATTGGATATGTCAAATCCAAGACCTTCCTAAATACTGAAGTCATTTCCTACAGGAAAAGCCAAAAGAGTCAAATTAAAACGAGGTTCAAATAAATGTTTCCCACCCCTAAGCCACTCAAGATCTTTTTGCTTAAGTGCAAAGCAGAATTAATCCCTAAAAGTTGAACTTCATTTTAATACAATTCTCACCTTATACCCAGGACTGCGCAAAAAAACAAAAAACAAAAAACAAAAAACCACAAAACACAAAACACAAAAAAAAACCCCACACACACACACACACACACACACACACACTTTTTTGTCATATTTTGTCTGACAAGTGTACATTTCTCCATCATCCATCCATTCGCTTCCGCTCATCCTTTTCAGGGTTGCGGGGGGCGCTGGAGCCTATCCTAGCTGTCATAGGGCGAAAGGCGGGGTACACCCTGGACAGGTCGCCAGTCTGTCGCAGGGCTAACACACAGGGACAGACAACCATTCACACTCACATTCACTCGCACATTCACACCTAGTGGCAATTTGGATTATCCAATTAACCTATCCCCACAAGTTGCATTCTCAATCATTTGAACAATATTGACTATACAGTTTTGCTTCCTGTGACATCTTAATTTTCATCAATTGAGTCTGCTAAGAACAAACTTATTTTGAACCTTCTGTAGGCAAGAACAGAGCCAGAGGAGGAAAGGCCATATACAACTTGGAAAACCAAAACCTACCAAATGCTCTGCCTGCAGATCTGAGACAGAGAAGGTGTCTCAAATCAGCTTTAATGGATGTTCCAACAAAGTTACATTTTTTTACAGTATTAACATGTCCATATGAATTTGTTTTTCTTAAAACATGCTAGAAGTAGGGCTGTGCCATATCATAACATCCAAAATACCGGTATCAATACCGGTAACAAGCCCTGCTAGTTGTCAATACTGTGTCACGAGTATTACACTATAAACCTACTTCTGGCATTTTGCCTCAATGCCTTCAAAATACTGCAAAACTAATTTTGACGCCACACCCCACACCCTTGGCCAATTTGTTCACTCCAGCTTGTAAGCTAAAATGCTCATCTCTAACATTACCTGCATGTTTAACTTTCATGTGTTCTAGCTAAGATTTAAGATATAACACATCAACACTGTCAACTTGTGAGGTGGGGCTAACTTTTAGAGCAGAAAACCCAGGACAGTGATGTCAAATTCACTTTGATCTTAGCAGGTTGGACCAGTGAAACATGATAAATGTGTTAAGTTAAAGAAAAAGTTACGATAGTTCATTACACAGGCAGTCCAGGACACAGGCAATAGTTGAAAAATTTACTTTCCTGTCATTTAACTGTTTACCTGTTAGTTAATTACTTTGATGGATGGGTAGTCTTTACCAATAGGAAAACTTATGAAATTATAGTGGACTGATTCTGGCCCCCGGGACTTATGTTTAGACATCCCCATCTAGGGTTAAAGGGTTACCTAACATGGCACAGTTTCAGAGTACTCCCTTTCCTTGTTGATCACTGTGATAACTTTTTACATTATTGTGTCTTTTCCACATGCAGTAAGTGAACATAAGAATGAGCGGGGCTTGCAAACACAGATCGATGCATACTAAATAGGGATACAGCTGAAGTGTTACATCTAAGGCTACGTCCACACTAGCCCGAATAGATTCAGAAAACGCTCCGCGTCCACATTAGCGTTTTCAGTCGTTTTCACAGAGTTCTGCGTCCACATTGAAACGGCCGAAAACGCTTACGTTCCAGTCCTGAAATGGTGGTTAATGTGTTCAGCATGGTTTATCAAATTAAAAGCAGGACAGATCTAAACTGGATTAGACTTAAATCATTTCAGGAAGAAAGTCTCACATCCATGTATAACTAACCCAGTTTAAAGCAAGTTTAAAACATATTCTAGATTGCTATCATTAAAAGTTTGACACTGATCAAATTCAAGACTTCTCTGCTCAATGTCATTCCAGGAAACCACACCTCCATTTTATTATTTATTTTTTAAGCAACATTAGAAGGGGGAAAGAAAAAAAAAAACGAAAACCCAAAACAATTATACTGTGGTTGAACTTGGAGTTCTAGTGCCTCAGAAGTGACTTTTAAAGAAAGAATGGGACAACGTCTGAATAGTTTATGGAAAACAAAGCAAAGCAGATGTCAGTGCATTCAGAAAGATTTAGATCTGAAATACTACAGCAATTGCCACTTTGACGCTTACCATAGCCCATTCTCTAGCTCTTATCCTCAAGCGACTGTGGCTACGGTCCTCTGCATATAGAGCGCCCATCAGGGAGCCAATTGATGTTCCGCCAATTAGGTCTACGGGGATGCCAGCTTCGCATAGTGCACGCATTATACCCACTTGAGAACAACCCCTGGTTAGAAGGGTGGGGGAACAAACATGGAAAGTGAAAAATTTTACAAAGAAAAGACTGACATAAATAACCAGCATCATTAGGAGCTGATGTTGTATAATGTTGTCTTTAAAATTATGATGAGAAACAAGCATGTGACAAACATTACCTGGCCCCTCCTCCTCCCAGGACAAGAGCAATAGCATTGCCTGTAAGAATACGAGCCAGGCGGGAAAAGTCAGAATGGCGATCTGCTGGTTTCTCAAACACACGCTGATACAGCTCCAACTGCAAAAAAAGCAAAGTACTGCTAAAAGAAGATGATGAAACAAGTGGGATAAGAATGAATGTACTGATGTTGAAAGACAGGAAATAAGAAAAACTACAAAATGCCAAGCAGAGGGTGGATCTGAAGGGGGGGGCTGTTAGACACACAGCACATTCTGGCCATGTCTTCCATTCTCACCAGTTTGGGCTGGCTTCGTTTGGAGAAGACCCTTCGGGGACAGGCAAGATGGAGGTGTCTGGAAATCCAGCTTCGCATGTTGAGCCAGTCTACGGTTCCTTTGGGTGCAGGACCATCTTCTCTGTGCAACAGCACAAGCTGCTTCTGCGCACGCACTGCACTTCCTTCCAACATACGCTCCAACTACAGAGAAAGCAGCACAGATATTTTAGAACATTTCATGAACTATAGGAATTGAGTCCCTGGGGGAGAGAAGAGAAGAGAAGAGAAATAAATAAATAAAATAAAAAATTTAAAAAAAGGGGGGGGGGGCAAACTTATGCAAATCCTTTATACATTTTTGGATTATTGCAAAGGTTTCATGAAACAAACAATTACTTTTCTTAATCATATCTGAAAAAATACAATGTTCTGTTATCTTTAAAAACTGGAGTGAAAGAATAAGCAGGGGGAAAAAAAAGTTCCACTAAATATGTATTTTAAATAAATAATGTTCTGGTTCAGGCATTCTTGTGTGACCAACAGGCCCTGCATCTTTTTAAGGTATAGTGTGTCTGTAACATATACACCACCTTTCATGTGTGTCCTGAAAGATAAAATAAAAGATGGAGATACAAATATACAGGGACAGATTACACAAGCAGACTACACGATTTAAAAAAATTAAAAAAAAGGAAAAAATTAGATGTTACAGTCCATGATTATGTTATCAGCTTTCGACTCTCCAACAAAACAAAAAAAAAAAAAAAAAAAAAAAAAAGACAGCGTCTGGGACTCAGGTTTCAGTGAAGCAGAGTTCAGCAGAGCGTGCAAAGTCCTTGTTAGTGTAGTTTAAGAGCAGTAATTCGTCGACTTTGTTTGGAAGAGAGCGGAGATTCGTGAGGTGAATGGAAGGGAGTGCCGTGCGGAATCCTCGCCGTCGTAGTTTCACCAGCGCACCAGCACGAGTCCCCCGTCTACGTCTCCTCCAGGAGCCATGGAGAGCTGCTGCGCCTCCAACTAAAATCTCCAAAAAACTTTCCGGGTTTGTGAAAAATGGATAGGAACTACAGTGAGTCGACTGCCTGATGTTTAGCAGTTGATCTCTGGAGAAAGTGATGTGGTCTGAGTGACCAAAAGCGCAGAAAATAAACAGAAACAAGAAAAGTGCAAGAGAGCGCAGTACTGAGACTGCCATCCACGGCGCCATCTTGAAAACATAATAATATCCACTATCAGCAAAGAAAGAATCGCTGAGTGAAAATAAAAAAATGGGGAACTGACTGACTGACAAAAGCTGACAAGACTGACTGACTTAACACTATTATGTGAAGTTAACCCCCACCTGACAAAGGTGTGGATGTATCTCTGTGTGTCTTGTTGCAGGAACAGGAGGACCACAGGAGGAAACTTGGGTCACATGACTATTATTGAATTCAGTTCTTTGTATTCTTTACGTCCAAGAAAGACACGGCTTAAAGTGGTCTTTACTTAAAAAAATTATCTTTAGTTTTACATATTCCAGAATATGGAGACTGAGCATAGAGACGGCATCAGCTACAGTTTCCTGTCAGTACTTTTAGCTAAAACTCAAAGCTGGCCCTCTCGTATACATAAACCAATATAATCAACAAATAAGCATTAAGAATATATTTGAATAACTAACAATAACTATAACTATAACTTGAAGACTTTGTCTTCTAGGATACAGGCTCCGGGTGGAGCTGGGAGTTAAACAAATCTTAACATTTAACCACTGACTAATGTTTTAACACAGGGTTACAGGTTGGAGTATGGCTGGTCCAAGAGGGAAACCCTGGAGATTGTTTTAGGGAGAATGTGCAACATTCTTGTACATGTCTCATTGGGGAGTTGACACATGGCGAAAGCCATGTGGCAAGAGGAGTGTCATTTTTTTAATTTGCAGATGTCGTGAGGTGCCATGATGAGAAGGAGTGGCTGAGGGGATCGTCCACAAGATGGGAGCTGAGGCCAGGAGAGAGGCTTCAGGAGGATCAGAGATCATCTTTCAGCACAGCAGACATCGCGCAGAGAGCTGTGCTACTGGGCTTCCAGTAGATCATTGAGAGGAGTCTTTGCACAGCAAACAACCATAAGGAGTGAAAGCGTTTCGACGTTGATGTTGAGGAAGACAACTAAGGTGTACGATGTGCTCTGCCTTATCTTTTTCTGCAGTGACAACAGGACAGGAGAAGAGTTGTAAATGCAGATGATTCTAAGTCCAGTTGATTCTAACCCCCACAGGATGCCTACAGTGAGAAGATTTGGGGGGTTGATAGGAGTCATAAAAAGGAATGTTGACCAGGCTACAGCTTTGAAGTTAGCTGAGAGCCACATGGACAAACAATAAAGTCAACTGATGTGTGTGAATGCCTATGTCTGTATACAGTTGGATTGTAGTGACATATGATTTTTGAGAATGTTGATTCTTCTTGTTTGATTGTTGACATTCAGTTGTTTACTTGCAAGTTGTAGTTTACTGTGTATGAGATCAATGAGAAGCAGGTTAACTGCTTACATGAATTAACTGTGAACTTTTGCTGCAATAGGAGGTGAATGACATGAGGAGCTCTGTATGAATGAAATCTACACTGACACTGTAAAAAACAAGGGTGCATAAGTTGAAATTTAATTACAGAATGACAAAAATGGGGGGGATGTTAAGTCTAATTGTTGAATGTTGTCATTGTGCTTCTTAAATTTGTAAGGTCTGAGTTCAATCTATAGGATCAAGACATTCCTTTGTCTCTGACCACTGGCTGGAGAGGCTTTTATTGCAGATACGTTCTATCTGGAAGATCTGTTTCTTGTGATGTTGCTTCCTGCTTTTATGACCCCTTTGGTGAGCAGGAAGTCATGCATACAGAGACACATGCACAACGAGAGACACACATTCTCACACACTCACTCAAACACACACACACACACACACAGAGGTAGTAACGACTTACATTTACTCCGTTACATTCACTTGAGTAAGTTCATGAAAAAAATGTACTTTTAAAGTACCTGTTTGGGGCGATACTTTTTACTTTTACTTGAGTACATTTGTGAAGAAGAAACTGTACTTTTACTCCGCTACATTTGCAAAATAAGACTCGTTACTTAAAAAAATAATTAGTTTAACACATTAGATAACATGCCGCCAGTGGAGTTTCTGGTGACTTTTTACCAATCAGATATGGCCATGCAGTCACATTTGAAACTGTGGCCCGCCACGGGCCCAAGCCCAAGCATTTCAAATCCTTGATCCACATAAGGACCCTGCTGTTAGCTAGGGTGAGCTATAAGCTAACAGCTAGCCTGGTTAATGACGCTAGAGTTCCACGCACATGCAAACAGCTCATCTCTACTGCTTTGACTGTTAAAACAGAAGGCAATACTGCGGGTTACAGGGTTTATTATGTGAAACAGCAGCTTGTTTAGTTTAAACAGTCTGCATTAAGCTGGGCAAACACTGCGATTTTTTTCAGTCGTGTTATTCAGCTCCTGCTCAAACTGTACAATTGAATTTCAGGGGTTAGAAGTTCATAGGTCACGATGCAGGGTCTCACACTATATTGTTCTAACAATATACTAACAATATACTTTTTATGTTTGTACAATATACTATCATGTAGGTACAATATACTTCTCACCTTTGAACTATATAATATCATGTTCTTACAATATACATAATTATAGGCTGAGGGTCGCAGATGCCAACAGACTTAATAAACTGATCCGTAAGGCCAGCAATGTTGTGGGGACGGAGCTGGACTCCCTCAAGGTGGTGTCGGAGAGGCGGATGCTGTCCAAGATAAAGACAATGTTGGATAACACCTCCCACCCACTCCATGGCATGCTGGTCAGTCACAGGAGCACGTTCAGTGAGAGACTGAGATTACCGAAAAGCACCACTGAACGACACAGGAAATCATTCCTGCCTGTGGCCATCTCCCTGTACAACGCATCCACTTAACACACTGTTTGCTGCTACAACTACACATGTTTCTTTTCCAACTATTTATTTATGAGTGACTTATGTATGTATGTATATATATGTATATATTGTACTATTCTTAGTTAGTGTATTGTCTGTCTTGTTGATGTTGGTTTATAATGGAGCACTGTAACAAAAAATAATTTCCCCCAGGGATCAATAAAGTATTCTGATTCTGATTCTGATTATCATGTTCGTACAATATAAATATTATATTGTACAAACATGATAATTATATTGCACAAACGTACAATTGAGATTAGAGGCTACATCGCAGCTCCAGTCACAGCTTTCATCACTATCTTTCTCGTCTTTTCCCAGAGTAACAGCCAAACGGTGCATAGAGGATCGATTGGCTACAACAGCTTAGCCTTGCACGCGTTCTTATATTAAACTTAATCTGGAATTCATTGCAAACTGTTTGTGCAGGATATGAATGACAAGATTTTGTTTTTCAACAGGAGTTAGTAAAAAAACATCTCCAGTGCGATCAAATCTTATTGTCAAGCATCTGCAGATTGGCAATGTATACAGCACTATAATGACCAGACTTAATTCTTTTGAAAACCTTACATCTTTCCACATGTCTCGACTTCATCAGACATCACCTAGACACAGAGCTGGATGAGGCCAGCACAAACAGCAGCCTATTCGACGAAGATGATGGATCCATGGGGTCAGGAAAGCCAGGAGCAGGGGAGCTGGAGAGGTACCTTTCATGTCCATTCACTGGAGTTGTAGATCTATTGCATGGCGTTCCTCACATCAAGAAGCTGTTGATCAAAATCAATACAGCTCTTCCTGCATCTGAAGCTTGTGAAGGACTTCTCAGACATGCAGGACTCCTGTTCACTGCTAAACAGTCACAACTTCACAGCAAGAACCTAACCCTAACCCTTGGACAGACGACTCTTGAAGAGACATTTTTGAATTTCAATGTGACTTTTAACTGGATAAATATCGGATATATAAACGTCCCTCTGCAACAAACTGATTCCAGCTTCTACCTCATGATAGGAATGTTTTTGTGGCTCAAGATGACCTGATATCTTTCATGATGGATACATTTGACACATGTTTCACATATTATAGACCAACAAGTTATTCATAGCAGTTTAAATTTGGGGAGTCACTTTTGGGCACAGCAAATAAAACAGAGCTATTATTTACTTCTTTATTTAAGTGGCGTGTGTCACAGATGTGACCTAGTAAAGTTTACCTGGACATTAGTAACGTTCTTAACACTCTCATGGCGTGCTCTGAAGTCAGCGTCAGCTAAAGTAGTATACCAGCAAAAAACTATTTTCACGCTCAACTTCCATCATACAGATGATGCTCGTGGCAAAAGAGTAACGTTCAGAAGCCTTTTCATTATGAAATCTGTTTCTGTTCATAAGGAAGTCATATTCAAACTGATTAAACAGACATTTTTCAGTAGTTAGCTGCTATGCGCCGGTCTGTACTGGATCTGGATTCATCGACGTCCCTCCAACAGCGACACAGCGATCCTGCTCACCGATTGATGATAACGACCTACTGAGCCTGCTAGCAGGTGCAGGAGGGTCAATCTGAGCCACAGTTACGGGCTGATAACTGCTAATAAAGCCCATTGATGGACTGATAACATGAATATTAAATGTCAGCACCCTCCAAAATAAGAGCTTTTTAAATAAATAAATAAATAAATAAAAAAGAACGGAGGTCTTATTTTGAATAAATTTGCCCGACTTTGGCGCCTGAACAATTAGAAAAAGAAGTTTTAAAAGCACTTCATATCATCTGTGCTCATTAAACTGACATCAGGCAGTTCATTTTCTCACCAGCAGAGGACCACAACTCACCATCAATGAAGAGTTCAAGGGGATGTTAGTGACATCAGAGCTGTACATATTGATCTGATCAATATGGAAACCCTAACCCCCAAACTAGGCGAGTGGCTCCAGCAGATCCCATGAACAACATCGGAGATCTCTGTCCAGAAGAGCGCAGTCCTGGGAACAGCTAAGATACTGCGCAGGACCCTCAAGCTCCCAGGCCTCTGGTGGAGGACCCAAGCTTGAAGGATAAAAAACGGCCAGCAGGGGCGTGCTGGGTGTGTGTGTGTGTTCCACTGAAAAAATGAATACAATAATAAGTATAATATATTGTTTAATAATAATGACAACTAGGATTATTACCGCTTTCTTCCTCCATCTTCAGCTATGTTTCCTGCACATGTGAAAAACTGCCTCTGCCAGTTTCTTCTGCTCAGTCTTTGATGTTTTCTTCTCTTTCTTCATCAGGTCTTTAGACACACTTTGCAGAAAGCAGCAACACCCTGCTATTCTTCACATCTTGTTCCAGCTGCTGACAAGAACTGGCTGCTTTCTTTGTCAGAACCTTCCAGTAACAGGCAAGGGTAATGGTCTGGACCAATACAGGCTGTCGCCAGTACCCCTACCACCATTCCTTCACAAGTCTGAAGTCTGGAGTTCAAACACCAGGGTGATCTCTGACGATGGCTGCCGCCCTCACATCTTATATACACACACACAGACAAAGACATTCCACAACTCTTACATATTACCTCATGTTACGGATTCAAAATATTCGAGGAGGGATACAGGAGGTAATCCAAATAACAACACTGATCCGGCCGGGTGGAGTCAAACGATGATTTTAATGAACACACGTGTGGGAGATGTACACTGCAAAACATCAGCTGTAGATCTCTCCTTAACAATACACAAACAGTTATTTATATCACCAGGAAAATTTATAACGCCCCCTCATGTGTTAAGCAGATACAATACATGCATACATCAAATCAAAACCAGAATGACTTTTAACACATTTTGAAAAGAACATCGCCTCGTCTCCATCCCAGGTGTCTTCCTGTCGCTGCCGGACGCTTGCTTATCATCTGGAACATCAGGCACACATTCTGCTACAAAATGCTCTTTTGCAGGCACAATTTTTGCTGTCACAAGCAAAATGAGTCTATAAATGAGTCTATCTACTGTGTGTGTGTGTGTGTGTGTGTGTGTGTGTGTGTGTGTGT